TGGTTGTTACGCAGGAGCACAGCCAAGGGGCACCCCATTCGGCTCACATGTGTTCATTTTTACCATCGCTGGCTATTAAAAGAAAATTAAAAATTGGCGTGATACGTTCTCACCGAGGTCCGCCCCTACCCCTTAAGAAAATCTTGATTGTGCCCCTGCCGTTGGTACGAACTAATGGCAAGTGGGCGCGGAGGCTAGCTAAACACAGATTAAAATGAGCCGCTGAGTCTTATCATAGGGTGACAGTGTCTGACGAGGGATCCTGTGCCAGCAAAGGAATGCTAGTCGGCAACGGGCCGGTTTGTTAGAAAGCGACGGTGACGGAACCTGGAATGTCAGCGAGTCTCTTGCATTGCTCGAGGCCCCCAACAATAAAGCGAGACAGGAAATAGGGAAATAAAAGGGCCCGCATTGAGACAATTAAATGGTAATGTGTCGTACAGTGGGCCCAATAACCAATAAGAGACCTCGCTCCGTTTCGCCCGGGGGCCTGATTTTTCCATATGTGTCCATTCCTTGATCTCTCTCATGATCTCTCAGGCTCTCTCATGATCACCTCCATCGGATAAAATTGGACAATATATATATATATATATATATATATATATATATATAACTGCCCACATAACTGGATAAAAAAGAAACAAAAGAAAAAATAGATTGGGCCAGCTCAAAACTTGACGACTCTTTCACATGAGGCCTTTCATAAAGCCCTGTGTCACCCCACCTCCACCAAGATTCTGAGTGCGACCTTGGGCACGTGCACATGGGTGACGCAGAAACCGGTGCCGGCAAAAGCGGGGACAGCGAGGACGGCGACCCCGACTGTGTGAGCCTCACTGCATGCATTCATGCTAGCGTCCCGCTCAGCGTCGGCGATGTAATTTAGGTTAGGTTTCCCGAAGTTACACCGAACTAATCTTTTGATAACGTACTGTTTTTTAGGAACGGAAGGAAGAAAGGGTAGCCTTTTCCAGCAAATTTGGCATGCAAGGCAGCTGCAACCAACGGAAACGCTAATATCCCGATCCTAGTGTGTACCGTGCGGGGTTGCGCGCTGCTCTCGCTGTGTCAAGACTCCAGTGACATCACGTTGAAGTTGGGCGTATGGGGTGCTAAAAAGCCGGTCGGGTGTACTTCTTATACATCCTTGGTAACACCGCTGATTGGCGGCGACAAATTACACACGATGTTAAGTTTTACAGCTTCGGTTGGGCAACGCGCCTGTTTTATGAAACAGTTGTTAATTGTACTTTGTAAACTCTAAATTACAACTAACAAAATACAAACGGTTTCTAACAAACATTTATGAGAAAGGCCGCTGGCCCCTGTATGTGAAATGGTCTTCAGTGCCAGACCTGACGCTGGAGTAATCTGGGGACAAAACTGTCATGTATCGCGGTCGTTAGTCTCCACCACAGAGGTACTTTCGCGAAATTGGAAAGGGGAGGGCTGCGCGGAAAAACCTAGTCTCAAATACCATACGAGGCGGTTTCTTGCCTGTTTGCTTTTGTTGGTTTCTTTCCTGCTTGCTTGCCCGGGCTTGATGCGCTTTCATCTCAGCACAACGGAGTTTAAGGTCCCGCTTACCCATTGAACAGGAAACTACAGACCTGCTGTTATACGTTTGTTCGCACTGTATTAGCGGAAGATATCGTGGGCATAATCGTCATTCTGTTTGGCGCCGATTGTCAAAGCAGTTTTCGGTTATCAGCGTAGGGTTGATGTAATGTGACTTCAGACTGTCCAACGCGGAGTAAAGAATGACATTTGAAGTGTGCGACTATCTAAGGCTGCCACAGAAACCTTCACCTAATATCCGCAAGGCGGGGTAGGCTGACTGCAACACGCCACTCGCGTTAGGCGCCGTAGAAACAGCTCATGGCTTTTTGGTGGCCATTGTTGGACGTTTGCTCGCAATCTGTCTTGTCGGCTAACGTCGATTTTCTGCTTTTCATAGCTGTACCAGGGAATATTTACACCGAAATGAAGGTCAGTATACTTCAAGGGTTGATTAAAAACATGCAACATGTAGAAAAGACAGAAAATCCTCAAGTAAGCATGGCACGAGTGCGGAGCCTTCAAAGTGTAACTAGCTTATCTGTACTCAGCTAATTATGATATCGCGGTTTTGGTTTTCTTTGTGCCTTTCAGCTGCGAAACAATAGAAGAATTGTTTAAATTGATAGAATTTTCAGCTCCTATTTCGCGGTTGTAATTCGGATGCACCAAAAAATGATAACACACGCGACACTACTCCATTTCCATTTACTCTGGCGGGTAAATAGTGAATTTAAATTATGTACCAAAAATCCTGTCCATGAAGGATTCTAATGCGTATAAATTTTTTGGTACCGGCATGCCGATCGATCAGTACCGGTGGTACCTGACCTGACATGAAGGTCTTCATCGAATCAGATGACCTCCAGAGGTTAAAAGCGATTTTTGTCACCAAGGAAATTCTGAACCGCCTAAATTGTCACCTGGAGACAAATTTGTCAGAAACTGTTGCAATATAGCTCTAAGTGTGATAAACCACAGAAAACGAGGGCAAATGAAACGCAATGCCGCATAGCCATAACAATTTTCGTTTTGGCACATGAGGCTACGTGCCTTCCGTATCCCCAAATCTACCCGAGTCTCTGACACCATGGAGGGTCCACAGGCCAAGCGCCAGCAAAATGCTGGACTGTTTTTCTCATTCGCACCGCAAAGAGTAAATTAAATTCTTTCCATCAAGAAGCTCACAAGGTATATCAGTGGCTAAAAAGAATAGAGTAGATTTTGCGCACTATGTAAGATCTCGCAACTCAGGACCTGGACGCGAACCTCAGACATCACCAAACCCCCGATCCAGGTCCAGCGATGCCTTTTCCTCACGGCAGCCTGGCTTCACAAATTTATGTACCCGACTTGGCTCAACGTCCTGAAGTTTCGTAACGCCACGGCTTTGGTGTGGGTCGTCAGTGCAACTTTTTGGAATCATTTGAATGCTCTTGCCCAAGTTGACTTCTATCACAGCAAGCTATTCGCCGTCTCTCGGGATCGTACATTTGTCGCATACAGCTGTGCATCTGTCAACACTAAAACATTCTATCCGCATACAAATTGTGTTTCTTCGTATTACCAGCTCCTCTGCTGGAATGCTCGCATTTCCTTTATCATGTCCTAACCCTTAAAGCGAATATTCCACATTTGGAGATATGGAAGCAAACTTTAGATATGATGACATAAGCTCACTTATAGCTGTTGGCATAGTTGTAATAGGAAAATGCTACTCTAGACAGCTATCTAACACATATGCTCCTCAAGAAGTCGGTTGCGTCATGGAACGTTTGTATAATAGCCTTTACTTGTAGTTCTTCAATCTTCCGGGAGATGGCCCGCGGCCGTGCTAGCTGAGTGCTAAACCGAATATCGTTAGGAGCTATTATTTTTTGCCCTTTCTCGTGATGTTCTTGTGTAATTGTCCGCAAGTTTAAAGTGGTTATTTGTATCTGTTATAGCGCTTTAATTAGCTTATTCGAACACAAGGAATTATTTCCGCATCTAGGAAAAAGGTGTCAATTCTTCCATTATATATCACAGATCATAAGTCGTGTTAGAATCTTGGATACCCTGCGCAACATTGGCTAAGAGCCAGCTGACGGCCGTCAAAACTGAAAATTTTGTTCACAAACGTCAGATATACGAGTCAACTAATATACTTTCCTTGATTTTGAAGGCCGCATGGCCAGTGGAATGCTGAGACTTGAATAACGTCACGATAATGTCATGGACGCCTGCGGAACCTTGAAATAGTTCACGAAAAATGGTCTGCACGTCTTCGCGGGCGTATAGCTGAGACAAGATAATTTTGGGTCTTGCAAATGACAGGGCGAAACTACATGGATTGACCTGCAAGATAGATATTTCATTTCAAAACCCTATACAAATGTGGAATGCTTCAACTCGTGCGTGCTCGAGAAAAATCGAGGCTTTAAGAACATCGATAGATCAGTTCCGGCCGCCATCTTCATTTTATGCGCAATCTCCTGTTGAATAAAACCTGCAGGTAGCTGCAAAAAGTAAGTGATTAAACCAAAGAAAATGCAGTTTAGGATGAGGCCTACGTAGATTACCTACAACATGATTTAGCTCCTATATCAAAAATGATGACCGCATCCTTCAGTGCGTGAATTAATGAATTTCGTAATGCCTCAAGGGGAGGTGTGATTTTTTTGCAATCCCACATAACTCATTCCTTGTGTAAATTGTCTGAGATCTGACTTGACGTGGCAGGGAGGTGATTTTCAGTAAATCAACTCATGATTCGATATACACGACCCACTTCCATATGAACATGTGGGAATTCCACGGGTTGAAGCCGACCTGCTGCTGCACGGGACGCCTGCTTTGCAGAGAATGACGTCCCAAACGCCCCAGCAAAATGTTCCTGCAACACAGTCAATGACAGTAGCACAGTCACCGTGCGGAAGTGCGTGCTGTCATTCTGTCGCGGTTGTGCTACCACCCTTGCCGCCATCCAAGTGCTAGAACAATGTCAGATACAGCTACCAACAGCTAACGGCTTTTGTCACTCGGTGGCTTGAAGGCCGAAAAACGATGACGTCACGGAAGCTTTATGCGAACAGATGGCATCGCGTGAATGCCTTAAGGCACACGAGCGTGCAGCCAAACCATGGAAAAAGGAACAACGGGTACTTTTGACTGCATGAATGACTCTTAATTCATCCACACCGCAAAAGCGAACGTATGCAACACACGCCGCCACAGGTGCAGAAGTGCCTGGGGGCTTCTGTCCCAGAGGGTATAAAAGACTTGGCCGAGTGGAGTGTCGAAGCTAAGCAGCATGCGCGCTCTGGCACTGTGTCTCCTGCTGGTGGTGCTGACGGTGGCAACTGGCCGTCGGCCCAGGCCGCGTCCTCCAGGCCCCCGTCCTCCCCCGAGACCACCGCCACCGCCCGGCTCCTCCGGTTCGATAGGTCCTCCTCCCGGACCGCCGGGACCGCCACCGTCCGGCTCCTCTGGCTCGATGGGTCCTCCTCCCAGACCGCCAGGACCGCCACCGTCCGGCTCCTCCGGCTCGATGGGTCCGCCTCCAAGACCGCCAGGACCGCCACCGTCCGGCTCCTCCGGCTCGATGGGTCCTCCTCCCGGACCGCCGGGACCGCCACCGTCGGGCTCCTCCGGCTCGATGGGTCCTCCTCCCAGACCGCCGGGACCGCCACCGTCCGGCTCCTCCGGCTCGATGGGTCCTCCTCCCAGACCGCCGGGACCGCCACCGTCCGGCTCCTCCGGCTCGATGGGTCCTCCTCCAAGACCGCCGGGACCGCCACCGTCCGGCTCCTCCGGCTCGATGGGTCCTCCTCCCGGACCGCCGGGACCGCCACCGTCCGGCTCCTCCGGCTCGATGGGTCCTCCTCCCGGACCGCCGGGACCGCCACCGTCCGGGTCCTCTGGCTCGATGGGTCCTCCTCCCGGACCGCCGGGACCGCCACCGTCCGGCTCCTCTGGCTCGATGGGTCCTCCTCCCAGACCGCCAGGACCGCCACTATCCGGCTCCTCCGGCTCGATGGGTCCGCCTCCCAGACCGCCGGGACCGCCACCGTCCGGCTCCTCCGGCTCGATGGGTCCTCCTCCCGGACCGCCGGGACCGCCACCATCCGGCTCCTCCGGCTCGATGGGTCCTCCTCCAAGACCGCCGGGACCGCCACCGTCGGGTTCCTCCGGCTCGATGGGTCCCCCTCCCAGACCGCCGGGACCGCCACCGTCCGGCTCCTCCGGCTCGATGGGTCCTCCCCCTGGACCGCCGCCCTCTGGTTCCAGGTAAATCCGTTCAATGGATCCTCCCTGCCGAGTAAGATCTTAGCGTCCCCCCTTCTAGAGTCTCGACCCAAGTCAGCAGGCGCCAGTCAACTCGAGTTTGACTCCCAATGCCCTGGACAACGTTTGTATTTTCTCTTCTCTCCTGCACGACTCATGGGAACCATCAGGTCAGCAATCCACTGTACAGGATGCACCGGCCGCAGCCAGCTTGCCTGCCTTCGTTGACACGGACCCATCCGTCATCCAGCTCTTAAACATCAGCGACGCCGCCGATACTGTCTTGCCAGCGTGCAGGTGGCCCGGCTCTAGAAGAGGTGTTGGTATACTTGAAGCAACAAAGAAGCCCGTGCCTTGCTGAGTTGCTAGCACGAGGCCCGGACGGCTTCACCAGGCTGCAGTCGATGGTAGCCAATGGGTTTTCAGGATGCTGCGACGACTGCAGCGCCTGGGAGCTAAACGCAGCGATGCATCTTCAATCTGGCGAATGGTGTCACATGAATAAACTCTTGGCTTTCATGAATCAACAGGGTTTGTCAAGTGCACAAACTGAAAAGGTAGAACTACCGACGGGAATCAGAAGAACGCTATCTGGTAGCCGCCGAGAACAAGACATCCGTGGGGTGACCATGTAAGCTGAGCAGCATGTATCACGGACGTAATTCACGCCTGGAAATCAGATGCCCTGATCTTTCGCCAGCGAAAGAAGAACCTCTGAGAGCCCATGCACAACAGCGAAGCTACTTGGGGGCGGCAGCTTGGACATGAGTTCTCGGACGCCTCCTGAGTGACGATGGGGAAGGTGGAAGGGGAGGGCTCCATGCAGGGCCCATATTTTAGTTGTGTAAGTTTGAGATTGGTGCCCTAAAACTAATTAGGTGATTGGAGTTGCAGCAACACGAACGATGGATGCACGCCAGGTTTGTGTGCATGCACTCTACGGTCGAACGGCAGGGTTGCCATATGTGTCAATGGAGACACCCCTCAAGGCTTTAGGACACCTCAACTCTTTGGGGCTATCTTTTAGCCTTAAAAATATCTTCAGACCCTAGGCACATTTATTCTTAAGTCCCCAGTCCCCCTCTCAATGGTTTGTGGTGGCTTTTTATTTTCTTAGCCGTCGTCCTGATAAGGGGGTGTTGATGCAACAACCCTAAGGTTTTTTAGAGTACCTAATCGGCATGTTGCGCAATCGCACCCAAATTTTTCAGCAGCCTATGGGACATTCATTAGCGTGTTTTGACATAAAAAACGTGTTCCTTATCTTTCTGGTTTCGGAGCGGCGGCGATTTTTGAAGAACGCTGCACGACTATCTACGGCCTGAGCGGGCCGGCGACGGCAACCGACGATGCCGCGGAGCCCGTGCGGCGGGTCGACATTGGTACATACTGTTTACATACTCTTAAACAGCTGGTTCATTTGGACACACGCTGCGTGCACTGTTTCTGGAGATGGGCTAGTATTCGCCCCGTTTCCGTGATATTTACCATAATGCTTGTGAACAACCTTTCGTTTACACAGCCTATGCCAATTTTAACCATGAGCGGGCATAAAATTGGTCTGTTCAAAAGAAACTTCCCAAAATCACCCTATCATAACGCAACCGGCACGCAGCGACGCGGCTCACCGATGATGGGGGCCGCAAGGACATGCGTCCAATGAAACCACGCTGCTCGAAGTAGTCAACGCATGGTCATGACCACTAAACAATCACCACGCGGTGATTGTTTAGTGGTCATGTGAGCAGTGCTGGTAACAAACTGGTGTTCGAACAACTCGTGCATTTCAGAGTAAAAACCAACGTTAACCGATCGTGCACTGGAGGCGAAAGTATGATTCTCACCTAACGAAGCTCGTTGAAACCTAAAAATAGTTATAGGGATGGCTTCTAAATGGCTAGTCAGTACGGGGGAGCAGACCTACACTTTTCAGTGTACGCACAGTGTTTGGCGTAACCCAGAAAAGTAACACCTGTAAACGATATGCCACCAACGAGATACGCGAGGCAAACATCATGATCAATGTGACGTAAAAATGTTTTTCCTTAGACTCTAGAAGGTTAGGGCGCCAAACTCACCGTTGAGGGTGAGCAAATTAGGATTTTGGGGAGGGGCCCTGTGGCCCACCCAAAAAAGCGCACATGGACACCCGTGTTGTAGATAGTAGCTATATGATATGCAAAATTGGAAATTTTTGGACTCATTGATTTTTTGACTAGCTGGTTTTTTTTTAGACGGCCAGCTGATTCCTCCTTGGATTTTGTAATAGGCAAGAGCTTTCAGAAAACGCTTCCTCCAGACTGGCGCGCTTGGAAAGTAGACTGGCCTGCGGAGTGCCGAAATAGTTTTTTCATCTTTTCAACTGCAATTGTTTCGCAACTGTCTCACGTGCATCACTGCCGAGAAATTCCTCGCCAGCGACGAAACGTTGTACCCCACGTTTAGCAAGAACAGTTTCTGCCAACACAACACGAGCAAAACCGCCAACTATGATCTACCGTTCCGCAGTGTAAGTGACGTCACATGCCGATACACCTATGGCGCCAGCTTAAACTACGGCAAACTGGCCGCCGAGTCGGGACCACACTGCCGGCCAGCTCTCACAGACACTAGGCAGCATCTGGTGAACGAACTGATGGACTACAACAGCATAACGGGACGCAAGATGTCGATGGGCAGGCTTTATGTCTCTAGTCCATGGCCAGATGGTTGCTAGCTCAGAATGTAATCATAGTTGTCACCACAGACGCTAGCCGAGAGGGATTCCCCAAATAGCTTAGGGAAACTGTAAACGTGGTCGGACTCTCATAGAGATCCGCATGCAAGACAAACCAAAAGAAGATAGTTTGTGCATAAAGAACATGTCTTACGTGGTTCAAACGAAATCCTCGAGAAAACAAACGTTCTTTTGATATCCAGCATGCCGCGCATCGTGGGGATCACGGAGGACTTAAAAGAAAATTTGGCCTTTCACAAGCTTCACAGCCGTAAAGGCCAGGCAGGCACCGACATCGTTGGTCAGAGAATCGGCAGCTGATATTCAAAATCAAAGACGAGGAAGAAAGACACAGAAAAACCGGGAAAAGAACTCCGTGGAGTCTGGCTGGACGCCAGCATATCCACCAATGACCCCACAGGCACGAGCACGCGGCTCTTCTAGGCACTCCAAGGAGACCCTCCAGAAGATCAGGGTGCTGCTACGAGAGGAACAGGATGCAGAGGCCTCTGGAGGCAGTTCCCAGCAAAAGGCATCACACGCCGTCGCTGTGCCGTGCGGACTCCCTGCTTCAACAGGACTGCAATGGGCCCGGAGACGTGCTAACCGAGACCAATGCGCAGTGCGGTGCAGGGTGGAGCCGCGTGTCTCACACATGTGGGCGGCCGCGCGGGCAGCGTTCTGAGGAGTACGGAGGAATAAACGGTGATGTGCGGTCGTGACGTGAAGCATATTGCGGTGACGTCAAATATATGTACTCGGCTCAAGCACATACGACTGAGGAGGAGTCTTGATGATCCAAACATTATGCCCGTGATAATGTGTCCTTACCCCATCCCCGGAAACCTGGATATGCATGTTAGGACATAAAACAAGCCAGGGGCGACTCAGCAGGAGAGAGGGAACAGAGGGACGTGGGCGAGAGCATGTTTACGGCCTCTCAAAATTCTTGGGAGGCCCGTTTACAGAAACTAAAGGCATTATACCTACCCACAGATTATCAAAATCCAGGTCAAAGTGGCCACCATTACTAAGACAGAGAACAGTAAATTGGGCTCAGAGACCCCTTCCTACATCAAGAGACCCGTTTTCTTCATCGTAGGGCCACCTTTAATAATATGGTAGTCCTTAGTCTGGCACAGTAGGCGAGTGTTATGTTAAGGAGACCCCACTGCTGGCTCGCAAGGCTCCCATTAGGAGCTGGGAGGCTCGTGTTCTGGACTAGTAGGCACCCTCTATATTTGGGGCCCCCCTGGAACAGACATCCCTTTTGTGCATCCGATGACTGCGCTTCCGATTCAAGGTGCCCTGTTTGGCATAACGCGACCTCATAGCGAGATTTAGGGGCCTCTTCGTAAATCGGAAGCACCCTGTTCTGTATCAGGAAGCCCCACTATGAATCAGGAGGTCCTTTTCTACAGGAAGAGGATCTATTTTGTGATAGTGAGATGTTTGGTTGGATAATCAGGGGACCCAGCCTGGATTATTTAGTTATCTGCATTTATTTCCCTGGATATAACCCATGTAACAGTTTGACAGAGAAGCTGACATGTCTTCCTCCCCCCGTGAATACGATACTGCCCAGGTGACCTCTGAGGAGGCTCCTTCAAAGTTTCTGCCCCTCCCCCAACTCGAAATCCGTGGCGCCGCTCCTGCAACAAACACATGTATATTTATGCGATCTAAGCGGCCTGATTCATTCTCGAAGCCCAGCAGCATCGTGATTAAGATTCAATGCTGTTTTTGCGTTTTCTTTTACTCATTTGATCCGCTCTCTCTCGCCCTCTCTCTCCGTCACTCTCTCTCTCTCTCTCTCTCCTTCCCTCCCTCCCTCCCTCTCTCTCTCTCTCTCTCTCTCTCTCTCTCTCTCTCTCTCTCTCTCTCTCTCTCTCTCTCTCTCTCTCTCTCTCTCTCTCTCTCTCTCTCTCTCTCTCTCTCTCTCTCTCTCTCTCTCTCTCTCTCTCTCTCTCTCTCTCTCTCTCTCTCTCACCACCCTTGTTACGCCTATGATAATTTTTCCCTCCATAGTGCTGTTCTGATGGCATGACAATGCACCATCCCATCTGCCACACATGCGCTAGATGAAGCCCTGAGCTACTGTAGCCCAGAACATGCGGCAGTCGTTATTGAGGCGCTCATTTGGCTCGTCGTATAAGCGATCGAGAATCTGACAACTGACGATAAGATCCTGGGTTTGTCTTTTCGGATCCCTGTATGAAGTTACTATTTCTGCCCGCGTTCGTGCTATTTAGCTTGATAAAAAGTGTCACTTGTTACTGACACACAGGGGCGCAGCAAGGGTGTTCTTAAGGAGGAGGGGGGGGGGGGGGAGGTGGGGAGGAGGGAGCTCAGTAAGAACGCATCTTGCTGGTTTTTGTATTACTGTAAGGGACCATCTATGACAAAAAAATATGCAAGCTTAAGGGGATTAGGCCTCCGCCCACTCCCCTTGGCTACGCCTGTGCGCTCGTGCATGTATGAGGCGGAATGGGCTGGACAAGGCGCAACCTCAGCGCAGAAAACGTCTGCCATTTTTTATCATCAGCACTATCTGCAAACTGCCTGCCGCATGTGTATACTACAGAATGCATGCGTGTGATGGCTTTTATTCAATTGCTGGATTGAAAAAATCTGGTAACGGGGTCAGTCCAAGGGAAAAACCATCGTGCAGGTTTAGCGTAACGGCAGTACTGTATACATAACCAACATTCCTGATCTGGCAACTGCGGTAATAGCAGCAGACTCTGCCACGCTGTCTGACGTCCTGAAGATCTGACCTCCTGCAGACTCTTGCTCTTATAATGGTGAGGTTTATTTTGTCGTTTAACGAATTCACATTCATCATCTAACCAGCTTCCACATCATTTGAACCCCAGTCGTGTGCCGTATGTAGTCGAACAAATCTGGCTTGTCAGTGGGATGACCCAGGTAAGCACCTACGCACGGGTGTCGGTTTGCATTATTTGTGGTGGGCCAATACCGCTCCCTCAAGCCCATTTTGAGCCCAAACAATGAGTTGCTCCTTAGCCTTTTGGAGTCTAGGTATGAAG